AAGAAAGAAAGAAAGAAAGAAAGAAAGAAAGAAAGAAAGAAAGAAAGAAAGAAAGAAAGAAAGAAAGAAAGAAAGAAAGAAAGAAAGAAAGAAAGATGGAAGGAAGGAAGGAAGGAAAAAGATTTTTCTAATTAGGGAAAGGGAAGGGAAATAACAAAATGCTGAAACAAGGATACAGGACGACCCATTGTAGCAATGCGATATACAAGACACTATGTAGAAAACGAGCTTTACAACTTGGGGGGTTGGGGGAGGGATGAGGAGGTGGAAAGGGAAGGTATGGTAGGGGAAAACAAAGGAGGTAACAATGCTCGATGGGAAATGTACTCATTACCTTATTCATGTAAGTGTAACCCCTCTGTACAACATTTTTACAATAAAAAACAGAAAGAAAGAAAGAAAGAAAGAAAGAAAGAAAGAAAGAAAGAAAGAAAGAAAGAAAGAAAGAAAGAAAGAAAGAAAGAAAGAAAGAAAGAAAGAAAGAAAGAAAGAGGAAGAAAGAAGGAAAGAAGGAAAAGAAAGAACAAAAGAAGGAAAAGAAAGAAGGAAGGAAGAAGAAAAGAAATGGAGCTCAAAAAGCAAGGTGAAAGTGAATGTGTTTCACTGAAGTGAAAATCTGAGATTTGCTGAAAGGTGATGTGGCACCATGGGAATGTGAATCTCAGCACCGCACCTCAGCACATCTTTGAAGTCCATGCAGCCTGAACAGTCCTGGGTTTTCCTCAATAGTTATCTTCTTGGAACTATAGACTTGCAGTGGCTAGGGGTCTACTATTCATTCACATGGCTCCAAATCCAAGATATATTTAGACACATAATGAAATTTCAGTCTTCCCAGCCTCCAGACCTGTATATTTTCCTTTTTTTTAGACAGATCTTAGTTTACTATGCTCATTATTCTGTTTTTCTGACTTAACCAAGCCCTTTGATCTTTATCTAGTGTTCTTTATTATTTTTTTAAAAAATAAACAAATGCATTGCTTGGGGTAACTCAGTGGTAGATCACTATCTAACATGTGCAAGGCCCTGGGTTCAACCTCAGCACCCAAAGAAAGAAACCTTTCCTCCTTATAAAATGTAGTCTATTACACAAATACCAAAAAAATTAAGAAAAGTAAAATACTATATTTTCTCCTGCTGTACAAAAGCTATTGCTATTAACTCGTTGGTGATTTTTCAGCTCAAACTTTGTGGACAATTTTGTTTGAGTTCTGTCTACTACAACACAACCTTATCTTTGGTATCTCTGTGCAGATTTAGAGACAGAAAGACAGTGGAAGAAGAGAAAAAGCAGTAGCAAAACAGTTGTCCTGAAGATGGAGAGCTAATGAGGGCCAGGAGAAGCTAGCTAAACAACAGAGAAAGTGATATTTATTTATTCTCTTGAGGACTTTTTTTTCTTTTTCTTTTTCTTTTTCTTTTTTTGAGTCCCAAGTACCTGGTCTGTAGGAACACAGGTGCTAAAGCAAAGCCAGGGAGAAATCGACTCGTCACTGTGTGACAGATGTCAAAGTAAGCATGCATTGTGACCTGGTGAATGCATGGCCCCGGGACAGCACCACCATGCTGGATTTTAACCAATCTGTAACGTTTAGGTAGGCCCTGAGTGGAAGAGACATTCCCATAGAATCCCATAGGAAGGATTACAAAACAGTATGGTGGCAGGAAATGAAGAGCTGGTGTGTAACAGGAAATGAATTTTGGCTTCATGCTCAGAGCGATATGAGGCTCTTGAAAGATTTAACAATTCAGAGTAAGAAATGGGGGGAGGTGGGAAGGGATGGGAAAGGGAAACGAAGGAGGAGGCTACAATGCTTGATAAGAAATGTACTCATTATCTTGCCCATGTAATTGTAACTCCTCTGTATGATATTTTCACAATAAAAAAAAAAAAGAGTAAGAAATGGATATAGTTGTCTTTACACTTTGTGTGTGTGTGTGTGTGTGCCATTTACTGAGGCTTGAACTCAAGGCCTGGGCCCTGTCACTTCGTTTTTTCACTCAAGTTTTTTCACTCTACCACTTGAGCCAAACCCCCATTTCCAGCTTTTTGGCAATTAATTGGACAGAAGAATCTCATAGACTTTCCTGCCAGGGCTAGCTTCAAACCTTAATCCTCAAATCTCAGCCTCTTGAGTAGCTTGGATTATAGGCATGAGCCACTGACACTCAGCTTGAATTTGTACTTTGAAAAAATCAACTCTGGCTCCATGAAGGGAATAAATTGAGTGGATATTGTAGAGGGGAGTCTGGAAAGTGGGAAATGAGGTAGGGGACTGTTGCCTAAATGGAAGAAGGCAAAGCTAGTTCTGTGTACCAGGATTCTGGTGCCTCTAGCGACACCTAGATTCTGGCGACACATCATGGATTCTAAAGGACTGTGCTGGTAGATTTGGTGAGTGACTGTGGATGAAGATAGCTTCCATATTGATACTTGGACATTTCTTGCCTCAAGATTCCCCATTGCCAAACTCCATTATTTACAAAGATTTAAGCTTCTGAATTTAATGTGACGATGCCCAATGATACCATTTCAACTTCCCCTGTAATCTCACCAAATCCCTTCCCAGCTTGTACCGCAACCATGCTAGAATGCTAATGATTCCTCAGGTATGCCCTCTGTTAGCCTCCTATCCTTCTCCACCCATCTAGCCTTCCCTGAGCACTTCCCGTCTTCAAGCCCATTTCAAGGCCACTTCCTCCAAGAGGCCTATGCTCCCTTCTTCCCTTTCCCATTTGAAACTACTCTCTTCCCCTAGGATCCAGGAGCCCTATGTCTCCATTAATTGAAACACACATTCTGCCTTTGACTTTCAGCACAAATGTCTTGTTTTCACTACAAAATTAATGTCTCCTTTATGCAGATACCACAACTTTCTTGGAAGTTCAAGGTTTACTTTTTTTTTTTTTTTTTGTCGGTCATGGGGCTTGAACTCTGGGCCTGGGCGCTGTCCCTCAGCTCTTCAGCTCAAGGCGAGCGCTCTACAACTTGAGCTAAAGCGCCACTTCCGGTTTTCTGGTGGTTTATTGGAGATAGGAGTCTCACAGTCTCTCCTGCCCGGGCTGGCTTTGAACCACGATCCTCAGATCTCAGCCTCCTGAGTAGCTAGGATTACAGGCGTGAGCCACCAGCGCCCGGCTAAGGTTTACTTTTTTATGCTGGGGTTTGAATCAGGGCCAGGTCACTGTCCCTGAGCTTTATTGCTGAAGGCTAGTGCTCTGCCACTTGAGTCTCAGCTCCACTTCTGGCTTTTTTGATGGTTTATTGGAGATAAGGGTCTCAAGGACATTTTTGCCCAGTTGGGAGATAAATCAGAATCCTCAGATCTCAGCCTCCTGAGTAGGTAGGGTTATAGATGTGAGCCACTGACACCTGGCCAAGGAATGAATTTTTTGAAGTGAAATGAGAACTTACTAGAAAAATCAAATTCAGAGCTGGGAAGGTGGCTCAGTGGTAGAGCACTTGCCTTGCATGTCTGAGGCCCTGGGTTCGATTCCTCAGCACCACATAAGCAAAAAGAAAAAAAGCCGGAAGTGGCGCTGTGGCTCAAGTGGTAGAGTGCTAGCCTTGAGCTGAAGAGCTGAGGGACAGCGCCCAGGCCCAGAGTTCAGGCTCCACAACCGGACCCCAAAAAATAAAAATAAAAAAAAAATCAAATTCAGAACAACAACAAGTTGTAATAAAGGAGATTCAAGAAGTTTCCAGGACTCAGTTGGGTAAGTAGAGTAAAACCTGCGGGGAAAACCTGAAGACAGAAAGAATGAGTGTGTGGAAGGCCATGATCTTGGGCCCAGGATCAAGACTGTGCCTTGTGACAGGCTCCGTGCCACCTGCTTCTGTCCTCGGGGCAAGAAGACCTTCTGGTCTACCTCCTGGTAGATCACAGCACAGGACCAAATGCTGTTTGGGAGGTGCTTGGATTCAGAGCCTAACTCCATAGATTAGATTATCCAGAGGGCTTCTTCCAATGCTCCTAGGTCATTAGAGAGCGTGTTGCCACCCCTTTCTCAGAGGAAGCCTCACCCCTCCTTCTTTTAACCTTCCCTGAGCCCTTACTATCACATCTTACAACTCATAGGGCCAGGGAGTGACGCCAGGCCGGCTGTCACCACAGAAGCTCCTGTACCTATGCCTCAACTCTGCGTTCTTTACCTGAGCAATTTTCTTTCAGCATTGGGGTGGATAATGGGGAGAAGAAGAGAACTGCATGAGGAATTGTGCCCAGGATATTCCTGGCCTGAGAAAAGCCACGGAGTTCTGAATGTCACATGACACAGAGGTTCTTAGAGACTTAAGCGTCTGGAGATTGAATGTCTCCCAAAGAGCCACGTGGCTTGGTTTCCAAAGAGGCCCTATGGAGAGGATCCTGTGAACCTTTCAAAGGGGAACCTTGGGGAGGTCCTTAGGTCATCGGGGCAGTACTCTGGATAGGGAATGGGGAGCCCTGGTGTTTTTCTCTTCCTCTCTGGATTTTCTTCCTGGCTCACAAGGAGAGTGGTTTGTTCTCCTGTAATACTGGGCTGATGACACACTCCTCCCATGATGTGGGCCTTGCTATGGGCTCAAAGGAACAAGGTCACTTGATCATGGAGCCGCAGAACCTCAAGCCAAAGGAAGCCTTTTCTCTCTATAAATTATGTCTCGAGTATTTTGTTATAATGAAAGAAAGCTTTGACTCATATGCCCTGTTCTCCCCAGATTTATACCTTCTGGTCAGAGAAAAGAAAATTCAAGCAGGAGATCACAGGATCCTCTCTAAAATTCAAAAAGGACATCCATTCCTAGAGCAAGAACTTTATATAAAAAGCTCCAGTGGGCACCAGGAGTTCACACCTATATTTTTAGCTACTTAGGAGACAGATCTGAGGATCATGGTTTGAAGCCAGCCCTAGCAAAAAAGTTCATGAGACTCTTATCTTCAATTAACTAAGAAAAAAGCCATGAGCGGAGCTGTGGCTCAAGTGGTAGAGCACTAGCCTCAAACCAAAAGCTCAGGTACAAACAAGGTTGCAATTACAGTGCCTCATTTTCTGGAAGTATTTCCATTATCCTGCTGTAACAAAAGCCATGTTGGTTGTCTTTTATTTTTGCCTTTATGAGGGTAAACTCATAACAGCTTGACATGGACAATTTAGAGATTGTTTTAGCTCTGCAGTTGTTCTGAGGTAGATATGAGTAGGATGTTTATCTGTTTTAAATACTGTATGTGATCCATTAAGAAGGTTATAAAATGCATTTGTATCAGGTCTGTTGAATCAAAAGTGGGTGTGGGTATGCAGGGACAGAGTCCCAATTTGCCTAGCTTTGACTCATCTTGAAGTGTTAAGTTTACTCTGACTGACTAGTTATTTGGTCCTTTTGAGACAGAGTCTCACTATGGTATCCAGGCTGATCTCAAACTCACTAACAGGTGCGTCAGCTTGCCAAATGCTGGGACTACAGCTGTGCATCATCTCACCTGGCTAGACATGTACCTAGTCATTTCTTTGTTCTCCTGAAAGCTTCCATACTTATGAAAAGGAGAAATGCTATCCTTTGAATTTTGTTGTGCCTAAAAGGCCAAGTTTGTTGTGGATGGGAAGAGCTAAATTGCAGTCAGGCTATCTTTGTGACTTATGGCTTTAAAACAAAAAACAAACAAAAAAGCTCATGAAAAGGCCCCAGGTCCCAGAAGACACACATACACACACACACACACACACACACACACACACACACACACACACACACACACACACACACACACAATATGCCCCAAGAGCAGCTATGAGCAGAAGCTCGACTCTGTTATCCTAGGTGCTTGAGAATCAGAGTTTGGAGGATGTTAATTCAAGGCCAATTGGGGAAGGAAAAAGCAAAAGAGGTGTGAAGATCTCATCTCCCCCAGCAGCAGAAAGAAGTCCAATATTTGGACTTCTTTAAACTTCCAGAATTGGAAGTTTAAGGAACCGTTGGATAATACTAGATTATTTTTTGTCAGTTGTGGGACTTGAACTCAGGACCTAAGCTCTGTCCCTAAGCTTTTCACTCAAGGTTAGCTCTCTACCACTTTGGACCATAGCTCTCCTTTTGGTTTTCTGGTGGTTAGTTAGAGATAAGAGTCTCACCGACTTTCCTTCCCCTGCTGGCTTTGAACTGCAATCCTCAGATCTCAGCCTCCTGAGTAGTTAAGATTACAGATGTGAATCACTGGCACCTGGAAAATACTGGATTATTTATGCATGATTCTTTGCCAGCTCAACAGCATCCATGGCTCCTGTGTGTGGTGTACTGGTCTTTGAGAAGGATGAGGAGGAAGGAAATGATTGGTTTAAAAAAAATAAATAAAAGAAAGGAGCAAGAGCAGGAAGAGATCTCCCTATGTGGCTTTTACTAGCTCAGCAATAGAGGAGCAGACCTAAGATCACCAAAAAATACCGGGTGCCAGTGGCTCATGCCTGTTCATTAGCTACTCATGAGGCTGAGATACAAGGATCATGGATCAAAGCCAACCCAGGCAGGAAAGCCATGAGATTTTTTGTTGTTGTTGTTGGTGGTGGTGGTGGTGGTGGTGGTCATGGGGCTCGAACTCAGGGCCTGGACGCTGTCCCTGAGCTTTTTTGCTTTAGGCTAGTGCTCTACCACTTTGAGCCACAGCTCTACTTCCAGTTTTTGATTGGTTAATTAGAGATAAGAGTCTCACAGACTTTCCTGCCCAAGCTGGCTTTGAAGCACATTCCTTAGATCTCAGCCTCCTGAGTCACTAGATTATAGATGTAAACCACCAGCACCTGGCACCATGAGATTCTTATCTCTAATAAATTACCAAAAAGCCTGAACTACTTCAGGCTGAACTACTGAACTACTACTGTGGCTCAAGGGGTAGAGTGCTAACCTTGAGCAAAAGAAGCTCAGGGACAGTGAATAGGTCCTGAGTTTAAGCCCCAGGACCAGGACCAACACCAACCCCCACCACCCTACCACTCCCCCAAAAAACACCAAAGGAAAAGTCAGCTCTTTATTCACTCACTCAAGCATTGAGGCTCAGGCATTGGAGGTGACAGAACAAATGTCAGGAGTTTTCTAGTAATTGTGTGAACTATGAGAAATCCATTGGGCTATAACACAAAAACTCTTGTCAAAGTATTTTAACTAAGGTTGATGAAACAAGGGGAAATGATATTGTCTTTGATGTTTAAAGAATGAGTAGGATCGTGGTCTGAAAAGATTTAGAAGCCAGAAGTGTAGTCCATGCACGTAATTGTAGGAGTTGGGAGGTTGAGGCAGGAGGATCACTGTTCGAGTCCAGTCTAGGCTCCATAGACAGACCCTCCCTAAAAAACAAACAAACCAAAAACAGCAACAGAAAAAGGAGGAGGAGGAGGAGGAGGAGGAGGAGGAGGAGGAGGAGGAGGAGGAGCAGGAGGAGGAGGAGGAAGAAGAAATCAGAAAAACATTCAGAAGACATTAGAAGAGGGTTGGTAACATCGCCCAATTTAAAATTGCCCAATTTAATGGGTGTGAACTCAGGACCTGGTGCCTAGGGAGATGCTCTACCACTGGGCCAGGCCTCCTCAAGGAGGGGGAATTTTGCAGCATCCAGCACAGTATAGGTATGTCCTGTCACCAACACATCTCATATTCCGAATGGTGAGGACTTAGGGGCTGGAAAGCTCTATTCCAAATAAAATTGAAACTTGTTCTAAGGAGAGAATGAAACCTTTTTCTCCCATTTGTGCATCTTTCTTCTCTATCCCTCTTCCCAGGAACACGTCACAAGGTGGAGGATCTTGTAAAGAATATAAAACTGTCAGTTAAGAAAAGTGGCTTCTCCTCAGTGAGCTATACTCTAGATTCTTTGGTTTTCTCTTTAAAGATGGGAAGGGGGTCATTGTGGGAAGCAGAGGGAAGCAGAGTAATGATCTTGTTTTCTTTAGTGAAGGAGATGTTTAATATTTAGACTGTTCTACAATATTTTGGAATGGGACATTGGTGTATTTAGAGATTTAGTTGGAAAACAAAAAGGTTGATCACATCTGTATAGTTTATATTGTTCAAGATTTTTTTGTTTGTATTGAAAGTATGACATCATAATAATAAATAATAAACCCCATTTCAGACCTATAGGGTATCTTTTCCTCACAGACCTTAGCACATAGTAGACACTCAGTTAAATAGATCATTTCCCCCCCCCCAGATTGTTCTCTCCTACTTCTTCCTCCTCCTCCTTTTCTTCCTCTTCCTCCTCCCCCTCCTCCTCCTTTTGTGTGCTGATCCTGCAGCTTGAACTCAGGGCCTTGGTGCTGTTCCTGAGCTTTGTTGCGCAAGGCTAGTGCTCTACTACTTGAACCACAGATCTACTTCTGGCTTTTTGATGGTTAATTAGAGATAACAGTCTCACACCTTTTCCTGCCTGGACTAGCTTTGAACCAATATCCTCAGCTCTCAGCCCCCTGAGCAGCTAGTATTACAGGTGTTAGCCACTAGCACCTGGCTTGTTTCCGATGAAAGATGAAAGATGGAAACCCAGGAAAGAGTAAATGGGACAGAGCATGGGACAAACAGAAACAAAACAACAACTGCAACACTCTTCTAATTGCCAGAAAATGGGAGGAATGAGGGATGCTGAAGCAGACAGAACTGCAGGTTTGAAGGTGGAACCTGAGGACATGTGCCTCCCAGCTTCTGTGTAATGTGTTTTAGCCTTGATTGTCACTTGAATCGATTCATCCACATAGCTGTACAGAGTTGTTTATCTCCATTGCTTTCAGTGAATACAATTTCCATTGTAAGCCAAGCACTGGTGGCTCATGCATGTAATCCTAGATACCCAGGAGTCAGAGATCTAAGGACTGAGTTTCAAAACCAGCCAGGGTAGAAAAAGTCAGACTCTAATCACCAATTAACCAGCAAAAAGTCCTAAGTGGAGATGTACCTCAAATGGTAGAGACCATCCTTGGGTGAAAAAGCCAAGCTAGAACTTGAGGCCCTGAGTTCAAGTTCCAGGACCACCACACACACACACATACACTCATTCTCACACACACACATGCACATAAATTTAACATTTTTTTCTTGCATTTCTTACATGAATTTACACCGCTTATCCATGCTGTTGCTGACAAGCATTTGGGTTCTTTCTAGTTTGAGGGTATTTCAATTTTGCTATTTTAGAATTGACGTAATGCATATTCTTATATATCTCCTTCCATTGATATGAGCATATTTAGGGGGGGTTATGTATTTAGGGATAGAATTACTGGTCACAGACCATGCATATTTTCAACTGGGATTGTTCTAGTTTACTCCCACCAGTAATGTATGAACTTCTGAGTTGTTTGAAATCTGGAATTTTCCAATGTAAACTTTTTAGCCTTTCTAAGTGGGTAGTGATATTCTATTATGATTTTAATTTTTATCTCTCTAATCACCCATAAGTTTTAGTACTTCATGTTTAGTGACTATCTGGATTTCTGCTTTTATGATGTTTAATTGCTTGTTCATTTTTATTGTTATTTGCCTTTTTCTTGTTGACAATTCTTTTGACACTATAAGTATAAGCTCCTTTTTATCTATGTGCATTATAAATATCTGTTCCTAATCTATGTCTGGTCTTGTTTACTCTGCTCATAACATCTTTTCATGAACCCAAATACTTCTTGGAGTTGTGCAGACATTATGCATTCAACTCTAAAAGCTTTACTGTTCTGCTTTTCACATGGAGGTCTGCAACTACCTGGGCTTGATTATTCTACATTGTGTGAGGTAGGGATCAAATTTCTATTTTCTAATTTTTTTTTCTGTATAAGCCCAGTTATTCCAGGACCATTTACTTAAAGCTACATTCCTCTTGCCTTGTTCTTTCTTCTCTCTCTCCTCTCTCTGCCTCTCTCTCTCACTCTCTCTCTCACTCTCACACACACCACACACACATATGCACACAAATACACACTGATTCACAGGGACCATTGTCAACCATCAATGCCAATATGCTTAAGGATCTGTTTCTGGGTTCTATCTTCTAGTCAACTGTTAATGATGATATGAATACATCATTGATTTAATGTATTTGTGTGTCTGTCTGTGTATGTGCTGGTCCTGATCCTGGGCACTGTCCCTGAGCTTTTTCTCTAGTGTTCTACCACTTGAGCCA